TGGCGAGGGGCCTTTTTTAAACCAAAATATGTTAATGTATTTCAGTTGTAAAGTGATTGGGATAGAACATGTCTCTTTACTAGATGAGATTAGTAGCAGATCACTCAGGGATTGAGTCTGGGACAACAGTAGGGTTTCACAAGTAATGTACTTCATTTTTTAGGAGAGACACAGAATGCTTTTAACTGAATTTTGGAAGTCTTTGAGGTGGGCAGATKTTTCTCTAAAGATCAGAAGCAATTCCTCTTACATATCTTATGTGGCCCCAACACAGGGACCTATTACAAAACAGTAATTAATTGTTTTTCTAAAGGAGGAAAATCTGTTTACTGTTGGTGAAGAAAGAGAAAATCCAGATGGGAGAAAAAAAGCCAGGATTGAAGGCTCTCTAGATTTGTATGAAATAGGATTTCAGGATATAACCTCTCTATGAAACTAGAAACATTTTCTTCTAATGTAAAAGGATGTGTTTCTGATGGGCCAAGCTATGGACAAATAAGAACTACTTGTTTTTCTGAAAAATTGATGAAGACCAAATTTATAGGTGTTAGAGTATGTGTACGTCTTCTGTAAATATATAAATGTGGATATATAGATATACACACAGCTATAACAATATATGTGTACATATACATGGTATCTTTATTCATGAATATATATATTACATACAGCTGCACACTTAGAGGCTGGAAATAAGTGTTTAAGGCTTTTTCTAAGACCCTGCTTTGGAAGATAAGCTCTCAGGGRAGAAAGAAGGTGTGTTTAGCTCTTYTCACAGAGTCTGGGGTCTTTTGCTCTGCTTTCAGAGCCTTCCTGATGCCARCACTGTTACATGGGTTCTCTTCTGTTAAGCTGAAATCAAGAGAAGCAGACTCAGGGGAACCAATTGTATTAGTTTAGGCTAATTCAGCTTTAGCAACATCTTGAGCACTGCTGATGAAAACTAAGAAGATTAAAGTCCACATAATCTGGGGATCTTTATGTAAGTGAAGTTCAAATTACCATAAGCTCTTYGAATCATTGATCCAAGGATCAGAAGGGAAGAATAACTTAAACAAGCTCAAGCTGCAAATCCATGTCTTTGGGTCGTCTCCCCCCTTTTTTTTTTCCTTTCCCCCCTTTTTTTTCTCCCCCTCTGTCCTTCTTTTTTCCTACTTTTTATTTATTTATTTATTTATTTATTTTAGTAAAATCCTTTTAAGAATTTTGTAGCAGAAGAAAATTGGGTTTATTCTACCTTCCTAGGAGAAGCAGGTTTCAAAGGAGCTGCACAACTGGGTCTCACTCAGTTAATGTGTGGTTGCATGGGATTGATGAGGGCTATTAAATGCTAAAAGCCACTGATTGATTATTTTAATGCTAGCATACTATTTCAATAAAGACTGCTTTTGAAACAGAAATCTGCCTTAATGGCACTACCGTTTTACTGAATGTGGATATTGTAGCTTCTGATTTTTTGTATCAATTAGAAATGAGGGAATTGATCTGTGGTGCTCAGTGAATATGTCTTGATGCAAAAGAAACATGCCACGGTAGCATCAAGTTGCACACCTTTTCATCCTATTTAACATTTACAGATTTGTAACAACTTTTCTGTGGATTTTCTGACCTCTTGGTGGCAGTAMTTCTGCTAACATTGTGTCCTTTTCTCTCTTGTCATTTGTGATCCCTTTAGATGTAACATGCAGCTCAGTAGTAAATATTCYACAGGATTTTGGTTTATATCACTTGAGCAATTTGGATTACATTCTTTCTCTRTGTCATTGATCTAGACGACTGAGTAGAGTTTAAGTGTGCTCTTTTTCTGTCTCTGGTCTTCATCAAACAATATGAGAAGCACTTGTTATCTGGSAAGTGATGTCTGTAATACCTGAGAGAAAATTAGCATCATCTTCCAACCACTCTATTCGGGTGTGATTTGCTGCTGCATCCCCAGCTCACCTGGGACATTTTGGAATAGGCTGGCTCTTCCCTCGCTTAGGAGTCTGCCTGGCATTCCTGTTTTGAGCCTGGAGCTTCATGGCTGCCTAGCTGTGCTCAGGGCTTTGAGGGGCATCTCTGTGGGATGGTATTTCAGTGCACATCATCACCTGTGACATCTTGGAGACAGCATGGAGAGGTCCCATCCAATTTGTCTGTAGTGACACCCAAACCGTGCCAGGGAATCATTTGGAAGAGTGATAATGGTCAAGCCATTTCAGAARCATTTTGAAACTGACTTCCAGCTCTGAACATTTTCAGGTTTGGTTTTATTCAAGCAGGAGCTGTGCCTAAATGTATGTCAGGCAAATTTGGAGCTCAGACTGGAGCTGTGTATTGAAAAGTGACCAAATTGCATTTCTGAAATATTGTATGTTKATAATATTATATAATCAATGTTGTCACTTAAAGGAAATATGTTGCCTTAGTCATTAAAATAGACCTTTTGAGGCGTTTTTCCAGTAGTTGAAGAAGTTTGTCACAGATAACATTTGCCTGTGACATGTTTTTATTATAATAAATATATCTTAGGAAGGTGGAGGGGTCTGGCCATCTGTAAGGAGCTCCTGCATTACCAGTCAAGATAGAACCAGCCTCTACTCCAGCTTCAGAGGCTGTTTTACTAATGTAGTGAAACTTCTAATTTTGGAAGAATTTTTTTTCCCCTTCTGAATCTCTACTGCTGCTTTGAGATGAATTGCAGTGGATTATTGTAATAATAATGTAACAGACCACCTGGACATTATTAATAATGAACTTGATGAAATACCATTGCTGGAACGAACTTTAAATGAGCTGCTTTTTTTCTGCAGCAAGTAGAATGAGTTGTATCAGAGAGTGAAGAGTTTTTCTGTCACAGATCMGTTAAAGTGCCTCTGAACTGTCAGSAAGGACTGTATAATCTGAGTGCTCACAGTATACCAACTAACTCTGAGTCACCAGTTTCAAGTAGCAATTGAGTCAGATTTTAAACCCTTAAGACTGTGAATGGTAATATGTTATTATGGTGCTTTTCATCATTTAGAACAAGATTCTRTGTTTGAAAAGATGGTAATTTTGTGTGTTGAGCAGTGTGGTATCAACATAAAGCCCACTGAAGTAATGGAGAATATTTTCTTCATTTGAAATTCAGAATTGCTCTATTTTCAGTCCATCAATAGCCTACATGTAAACACTGTATCTCTTCCATGTAAGAGAGGAGGATGGTTTTCCAAGGGTACTGCTTCTTTCCTCATCACTGGGGAGCTGGTGATACCAGGTTATTCTACCTGATTATGTAGAGTAAAAGACTCCTTCTGGGAGGCAGTACATCTTGAACTGCTCCTTTCTCAGTGCCAGGATGGGACCCTTAGAGGATGCTTGTAAAGGAGTAGGAGAAAGATGAAGCTTTAATGAAACTTAAAAAGTGAATGTGCAGAATACTCTAAGGAATAATCCATCTTCTGGTCTGCAGGCACTGGGTGGAAGAAGAGATGACCTTGTTTAATCTTACTCATTTAAAGTAACGTGCTTTCCCGAATACTTAAATTTTATTCAAATGCAGATGTTAATAGTTTGRATATAGCTTCATTTATAAATCTTTTAAAGTGGCCTATGTTATGATACTTCAGTTTCACAAGTTGTTTCTTCTTAGCATGATTTGTACCTGAGCCTTGTCTAATAAAGGCTGTAAACCAGCATTGTTTTAATATCCTTCAATCATAAGCAACTTTACCATCCACCTCAGATTTTTATTTTAAAGGATGCAAAATATTCTACTCAAAGAGGTTTTAATGCATTTTAAAGTCAAAACAAACTATTTTGTTTTGAGTCTTGAAAAGCCTGAGATTTTAGTTCCATTAGCCATCATGAGWGGTCTATATATGTGCTCTCTGTGRTACTTTCCTTGATCTAACATGTTGTCTTTACTGCATATTGCATAGCTCACAAAGTACAAAAATGAACCATCCATAAAAGATAGTTATAGTATCCTAATTTCCAGTTTTTTAGTTGGGCAATGGGAATTGCTTGTCTTACGAGATCACATAAATCTGTTTTTTGTCTGTAGATCCTTGAAACCAAAGCTAAGGAAATTTTATGTGGAAAAATATTCTTTGTCCTTCCAAACTGTGGCAGAATCAGTTTTGTGTTGCATAAWAATTCAAATGGAACAGAAAATTGGAACAATACTTTAAATGAATAATAATTGTCATTTTCTTCACTGCTAATGCTAGCATCTTTAATTGTGCTGAGTTAATTTAGTATGACTTTCTAACAGAGTTGTTCCCATGATGAAGATAACTTGCTTTGTTGTTRAAGGAATAATGGTCTTTCATTACCTTTAAAGTCCGTCAAAATCTTCCTGAATTTTTCTACGTTTTTAATGAATTCTCAATCACTAATGTTTTTTTGTTTCATGTTCTGCTTATATAGCTTTAATAGTAACTAAACTTAAGAGTGAGTCAAGATTAATTAAATTCCAAATTCCATTTCCTACAATAGCAGGTTCATCTTATGTCACTGGGACAGCCCAGAAGGGAGCTCTTTTTTTTTTTTTTTTTTTTTTTTTTTTTTTTTTTTTTTTTTTTTTTTTTTTTATTTGTTTGGAAGTTTTTTTTTTTTTTTTTTTTTTTTTCAGTTTTCTTTTCTTTCTAAGTTTTAAGTCAAAGCGCATGGAAGATTGTGATTTGATTTAGCTTCTGAAAGTGCATGACAGATTCATTTTTTTGTAAAGCTGAACTGAAAGAAAATAGACCTGTACAGTTTTGCCCACAGGATATTTTGTTTTAAGAAAATGGCTTTCTTTTGAAGGGCATGAGCTAGAGCATGGTTTTAATTCCTGTAGAATATGGTACTTTTATAAATGTGTATTTTATTGCTAACACCATATGGCTGTATGTACATTATAAAGGCTGTTCATGCTAACAGGCTCAAAAAGCAAATGTATCTTTAAGCTCAGAGAAACTATTCCTTCCCCCTCCCCTCCAAATTATTAGTTCTTTTTCATATTTAATGTTGATCTGTCTGTTTTCTCTTACCAGGAATCTATCCCTGAAGCTGTCAAAGGAGGTGGAGCAAGGAGAAGCCMGGTACCCTCGTGTCAGCCAGCTGGCTGGCAGCCCATCCGTGGAGTGGCCTTTCCCTGCTCTGGAAGAAGGTGGAGGMATTGAATCTTTGCCCTTCAGATTGATGCTCCAAGACTGCACAGCTGTGAAGACATTGCTTCTGAAAATGAAGAGGGTTCTTCAAGAGGTAACCACTCACTCATTTATTGGATTAGTATCTTTTGGTMTTAACAAGCTAGGCAGCAGAAAAGGGTTAGTAAAGTTTATGAACTTGATATGTCTTTTGTCTTGGTGCAGAAGTGTAAATACTCATGCCTTAACATGGTGAAGGTCACCAAGTTTATACTTTAACAGAATTTAACTGATGCTGCCATTTTGATGTTCAGAGTGTAGCACTTCTTTTGAGCTTTTACCAAAAAGGGGGCAGAGGAGGCCAACTGCTTTAGGTCAAAATACGTTGTATTGTTTCTTCCTGTGTTTTAGAGCTTTCCAGTTTTCTTGCTACATTTGTGAGCCATTATGAAGTCACACACAATTTATTTACAGGAGAGATGCAGAGGAAAAAAAAAATCTCTTAAGTAACAGTACTAAAAGGGTGCCAGCTTCAGTTTGTAAATGGAATCAAATTTTTTAGGCCATTCACTACGCCATTCTTAACGATTTCAAGAGTCCTGGCTTGTCCTCTCCTACTATATTCTCCTACTTCCCTTGTGGACTGCTGTTGTTGCTTTGAAAATTTTCTTTTGTGTCTGTTTCTCTTTAGAATTTTAGGACAATTATTTGGACTTTTTGGGGATTTTTTTTTTTTAACACTTTCCAGCTGGGGAGCCTTTACTCAGTTATGTGTTATGTACTTTCATCTTTGTGTTAGTGAATTGCAGTTTGCCTTACCKTTTTAATCTACAAGAAAGATTTTTTTAGTTGTCGTTTTTTTTTATCCATATAGTCCATAGAAATACAGAATAATTTAGGTTCARAGGRCTCGCTGGTGGTCCACCTTCTCTRCTCAAAGCAAGKCCAACTCARAACAGTTGCTCAAGTCCTTGTCCACTTAAACTTTTAGTGCCTTAATGGGTTCTCTACATCAACTCTAGGCAGCAGTTCAAATATTTGACTACATCATTGTAACTTTTTTCCTTAAGATGGAAACAGAATTTCTCTGTGTGAAACTTCATCATATAATGAAGACCAAAAATAAGTTGGGGGGTTTTACTGCTCATGTCTTGGTCATCTGTATCTAAATTCAACCAACAGTTGTCCTATCTGAAAAKGTTTGTTAAAGGTTTAGACCTGGTAATTTGCAATTATTCCTGTAAGCAGCATGTTTTTGCTGGATGGCAAGCCCTAGACTTTCTAGTTTTCTTCAGTTCACAAGAAGCTTGATTTGTGCTGTATGGATCCCTACAGCACTTCTGGTTTGCTGAATTCAGAATTGAAATTATTAATTCTCCATCAGTTACTTCTTATATAGTGTGAGAATATAGCATGGATTGAAAGGATTTGTGGCCTCATTGTATGTGGAAATAAATTAAAATTATGATATTATGTGACATAGCAGTTATAGCATTAAACTGGTAGCATTAGCAGCATTCTCTGTTGCTTCAAGTCTGAATAATTCTGTTACTCTCACAAAAGTGTGATGGTAAGTGTAAGAACTTTAATTTTAACTTACACAGTTCCATTAAACTTGTGTAATAATCTACTGTTATTTTCTGTTTGGAAATATGTTGTACCTTTCAGTACTTTAAGAACATTCACCAGGTGATCTCCACAAAAGGAACAYGAGGTATTTTGTGTGAGTCACCGGAATTTCCTGTCCAGGTGCTAGTAGCTCCTTCTGCAACTCATTGATTCCATTTTTTCATCTTAATCGTTCAGTCTTTTACTTATTTGTTCTTTTGTACTGTATAATTTTCATCTTCCCAGCTGACTGTAGCGCAGTGTGTTGCTGTAAAAGTTTGCTTTTCTTTTTGTCTTGCCCTGTGCAATCAAAATGCCCTCTTTCTAATTCTGCATTTGGATGCAGATATGTGCTGTACTTTACTTTCCTGCTTTTCAGCACCTTTGAGATGGAATATCTTGGCAGTGTTACACATTTGCTGATCTRTGTGCTACAACAACTCTTACAGGGCTGGAATGAAGTGACCAATCTGATGATGAGTGAAAACTTTTGCTCTCCTAGGTTGTTATTTCTATTACAGTTTTTAATGAATGACTTGTCTAATATYGGTGATACAAAAGAGATGAGGAATGCCATAAAATGGGAGTGTGCTTTTTAGCAACTCCACCTGAGAAACACGTTTGCTATGTAGTGCAGTATTGCAGTTCAGCTGATAAAAATACATGTACTAGTTCTTCAAACAAATAATGCRAAGCTCTTTTTAAGGTTTACATAGTTTTCATGGTTAACAAACCAGTTCACTACACAGTGATGTTATTCATGGTATAATTGCAGAAGAGTGAAACAATAGTACCAATAAAATATTCACAGCCTTTAAAACACATTAAAATGCTGAGAATTAAGCCAAAACCGCAGAATATGACTCAGAAGAACTTGAGTAACTACCCTGAACAACCAAAGAGAAGATGACCTTGATATATATTAGAAATGTATAYTGAAATGACACAATTTGATTATCTTCAGAAATTCAGGCATTTATGCATTTATGCCACTTTTAAATTATTAGTGAATGATTACAGGAAAATATAATCCCATAAAATTGAAATATTATATTGAAGAATTTGATAAGTAAGTCATCTGAGCATTTTTAGCAGACAGTTTCCATGGAGAAGATCCCCTACTTTCATTGCAACTAGATGTAWTTCCTTCATCCAAAAATCACTTCTGCTCCAACCAATATTACAAATCAAACTCAAAACAGTACAGAACACAAAACATAAAAGAAAAATTCTTTCTACCATGGAATGCTCAGGCATTTTTCGATGTAGGCCAACATAGTCTCTGGCAGACTTGTATAGAATTGAAATATTTTATGCTTACAAGAGTGTAAAATAAGATTATATATTTATAAAAATAATAATATGTCACATGTTTCCATCAACTTAAAAATATACAAAGCATACAAACTTCGTGGGGAAAATTGCATGGGTTATCAGAAAAAAGTTGCAATATTTCTGTTTTATAGCTGTTATTACCCATAGAAGAAGGAATTACAGTAGTGTACACCTCTTTATTGAAGAATAACATGCTAATTGAGTTAAAATATTAGCCCTGTTATTCAATGTAATCCTTCTTCTTAAGCACTGAGCACTGCTTCTGAGGAATAATTTAATTATGATCTGCCAAAATGTAATACTAGCTAGTAAAATATGCCTTTTTTGGTTGCAGTTGCTTGTAATTGAAGAATCTAAATGGAAAAATTGCATACAATGTATGCTGTACTGTGCTGCAGACTTACAGGCTTGTTATTAGTCTTATCTTGAAAGGGGAAATTGAAGACATGACAGTAACTTTCAAGACTGAGGAYGTTATTTAGTAAAAGGCTAATGAATGATCATTCAATTAAGAGAATTAATTACCTTTTCGCTTTCAGTCAAAAAGCCTTGAAAATGTGTGCTAATAATTCTTTRTGGTTTTGGCCATGCAAAGCTCATAAGGCATCTGCCCTGGTGTCCGCTGTCCCCTGGTGTTTTGGGAACTCAGAGAACAAACCTGATAACAGTCTGGAGTGCCCTGGCAAGCGAGGAAACTTGGTGATTCACCAAGCGCTCCAGAAAATACCTCTRATTCTCTCCAGCAGCTTTTTCTCTTGGATTTCCATTTCTGACAGACAAATCTGCAATTAATGGTGCAGCCAAGACTCAKGGGCTGCATCGTTTCATGGAAAAATATTGCCAGAGATTATCAACATGGACAGCTCAATAAAAGCTTCTTCAGCATAGGAGGCAATGCAGGCTGTTGTGTAGCCTGCCCATGATTTACAAGTAGTTAGTGGTCTCCTTTTCTCTCCATCTCTATTTGGATTTTATCGGGTTTTTTTTTCCTCAAAGTCTACCAGATGTTGACTTTTTTTTGTCAGTAATAACTCCTCTCATTTAAAAGAGAAAAAAAAAAAGAAAATAGGAATTGGATGGATAATACATAGTGGACTGAAGGAAGTGATTTTTTTGTCTTTAAAAAACATAGTTTAAGGCCAATTCCATACTGGCTAGCAATCAGACTACAAAATATCCAAACAACAATTAGCTTTCTCTCGATACTTCCCATTGTCCACTCCTAGGAAAGGAATTCTTTACCTTCTGCTTTCTTTACCTTCAGACAGGTCTTTCTGCTTTGAATGGCTCTTCCGCTTAATCTGTCATTTTTTTCTCCCCCATTTTTGGGGGAAAGTATMGAACAATTGATGTTCTACACTTTTTGTGATTTATAACATTGCTGGTATCTGATTGTGTATAGCCAATGAGCTTCTAAAACTAGACTGTAGCCTCTCTCACTTACTGCTATGAACAATAATGAATATAAAATGCCTCTTAACCAAGCAATATGTTGGCTTTCCTGTACTCTTCCAGATGAGAATGAAATKATTTCCATCTGTTAACTTTTTTATGGCTTGAGTTATAGCTGGCTTAGGCAATGTTGAAGGCTGGCTAATCGAGGGACATTTAAAGGCTTTGCCTCTTCTAAAGTCATTGATAGARCATTTCAGGCAGAGACATATGAGCAAAACTTGTATGGTTTTGGCTTTGTGCCTAGCAGGAGAAAGTCTTTATGCTGAAATAAACATAATGGAAAAATACAGTTGTATCGGGAAGGAATCTATTTAGTCAGTGATAATGGGGTTTTGTTCAAACTTTATATATTAAGCTTTTTGATTAATTTTATTGAGTGCCGTAATAAAAAGAAAATCTTTAGGCTTGTCGAAACAAGGTCGTATTTTCCCTGTATTCTTTATGAAATATATAGTTTATCAGCTACATAATTCTACTTTTAGATGTTTTTATGAGGCTATCAGAAGTGACCTTACTGGTTGCTAATCTAGAAAAGGAAGATACATTGTCTATATGTTTGTGTAATTTGGAATATAAATTATTTGGCCCATGGTTTTTTTTGGAGCCCTGCAAAACACTATTCAGGCTGTGGAGCTTTAGCTAATTACTACAATTAGCAGTAGGATTAAGTCACTTTGGACATATATTGCATACTGTGTTTTACTAATTAATCATTTA